AAAGATAAGCCTAGTGATGCATATCAGGCAAGCCATCAGCTTCAGGATGGTGATGTCATCCTACTGGCAACCGACGGCTTTTTCGATAATGTATTTGCTGAAGAAGCCGTCTCCATTGTAAACAAAGAGCTTCAAGATGTTGCAAGTCGCGATTTCGAAGATCTTAGGACACATGTGAGAAGGCTTTCAAGAAGGTTGACCGATACAGCAAGAAGATACTCAATGGATCCCAGGAGAGTTAGTCCTTTCTCGCAGAGTGCAAAGAAGAGTGGTGAAAGTCGTACTGGCGGGTAAGCCCTTTAGTTTATTATTGTCTACCCGATCAGATGTGCTGAAATCAACTTTCATATTCCTCCATGACAATGGTTGATGAACTAATCAACTTTGACTTATGCCATTTATAGTAAAATAGATGACATTACGGTTCTAGTAACACTGGTCCAGGCAAATTGATGATTTTGCGGTTTAAAAAGGTAAAATCATTAAGGAATTTAAGAGAACTCCAGCTAAAAAAAAAAAAAAAAAAGCAACCAACCAACCAAAAACCATTATATTCACACATTTATGTAATATCATTGTTTTGCATAAAAAAGCGACAGTATTTTAAGTATTTTGGCATCGTTTTTAAGGAAAAAAATTTATATTTCAATAAAAGTTGTAGAACATTTATTAAACACACAATGATGTCCCAGGTACCAACGTAAAATATCCGCAAATTCTTGATATAAATAAAATATAGTCAATCTATTAACGTACTTGACATTCGTTGAACAATTCAATAATGCTGGTATAACGATATGGTTGGTTAACTAGAGTTCGTGCACAAGTTCAGAAAAGTACCATTTGTTACAAGGGAAAATCGTCTTGGAATCCTGCGGTCAGTCCAAATGCTCTAAAATAAAAGTACTATTGCTCTGCGTAATCATGTTTCCCTTTATCATTCGCACTTGGGAAAATTTCACCGCATGGAGAAAAATTTTTTTGATAAGAAACCTATTAAAGTTTCTACTAAGACATGCGCCTTTTCCCCCTTCTCATCCTGAACCTCTACAAGGTGTACAAACGCAGGCTTGTTACAACGTCTGTTCACTAACGATCTTGATCAGTGACCGATAATAGTGACCTCGGATAACTCCACGTTTTCCACGAAAAAGGGTTCTTGGTGTAAAAAACAAAAAGCACTGTTTGTCGTTATATGGTCAGAACACTTGATTACGTATTTCCAATGTTTATAAAACGGTTAGTGGTCGGATGATCATCTCTCATCACACGAAACTGCCGCAGGAAGGAGGAAAATTACTAAAATTTTCTTTGAGCATCATCTACTATCATCACACAAAACTGACTTTGATATTCACCCGAATATCCATCCATCCGTACTTCCGCTGGATAAAAGTTGCTTTGCCAGTTCTTTGTCGTTCCAATCGTAACTTCAGGTCGGCAAACTCTTACGGTCCCTTACACACCTGATCTCAAGAAACTGTTGTGAACTTGAGATTTTAAAAAAGAGTTCACCCACAAGCAGAATGATTATTGACGATTCATCCTCAAAAGCTTTAAAAAAGTATCTTAGTAATATCTTGGAACCGATGTACGTTCGATCTCTTGACCTTTGTTCTTCGTTTTCGTGCTTGCACGTTTCAGTCGTCGGGTAGTTTCACGCAAAACTCGGTCCTCAAAATCTGTTAATAAAAAAAAAACCACTTTTAAAAATTTTCCCTCAATAGATGCGACGCGGATCCTTCAGTATTGGCTGATTATGTTATTGCACTCTTACAGCACGACAAATCAAACCAAGATTTAAGGCAATTATGTATAGATCAACTCGACGATTTTCTTAAAGAAGGTATTGAAAAACTTTAGTTATCTTTCTTGAAAATCTCGATAACCCGACTGTCACCTTGTTCAATAAATAGTTTATCGGTAATCTTATCTTTTGAGAAACCATTTAATAACATTTGTGATTTCAATATATTAATTAGAAACCGAACCGTTTGTTGAAAAATTATTCGAATCCTTGATTACCAAAGAATACTTAGGCGATACTGGCGCGATATCAGGAGTTCAAACTAAGCAGGAACAATCTCCAACCCTGAATGCACTTCCGGTGTCTACAGACAACAATTCAATCGCATCCCAAGATAATCTTACCGAAAAAAATGATAATTCAACTGCCAAAATAGGGGTTCGAAAACGAGAAGAAAGTGAAGAAGGGTCTGATGACGACGAAGATCGTAATTACAAGCACCGAGAGAGGAGTAGTGATAATAATCGAGAGGATTATCGGCGTTACGTCGATCGTTCCCCTTTAACAAATCGGGAAGATGAGAGGGATTCGAAAAATAAGAGGTTTCGTGGTGAAGGTATTCCCACTGGACCTGCTGCGGGTACGACCCAGTACAACAATTATCCGGATGATCGAACCTTCAAAAGACGACGTGATGAGAATGACGAAGATTTTCGTTCCAATAAAATTCCTCGTAACAACTTGCTGGGGTCCGGACAAAATATACCTGGAAACGGCAATGGCTACGTTGCTGCAAATGGTATGATTGTTGGAAGTGTTTGACGTCCATGTTTCGATAGAAAAAACCGTCTAACTAGAAATTTCGTGAATACGGTTTTTAACAAAAATAGGTCCCGGCCGTTGGGGAAACGAATGGGGTTCAAACGGGATGAATCTACCGTCCAATGATCGTTTTGACGAACGAAGAATACGGGGCGGAAGGATGAATGATCGAGGCAACGGTAGAGGAAATTCCATGATTTCTAACCGTGGTAGCTTCTCAGAGTCTAGGCCTGGAAGACGCCAGCGATGTCGTGATTATGATGGTAGATATTTTTCTTTTTTCTTTCTTTCTTTTTTTTTTTTTTTTAGCTCGTGCGCCCGATAATCAAGTGTATTTTTTTTTTTTCTTTTCTTAGAAAAAGGTTATTGCATGCGAGGAGACCTTTGTCCCTTCGATCATGGAGTGGACAGGATTGTGGTGGACGATGTTCCATTGAATCGTCCGTTCGATTCTATAATTCCCATGACCGCCACACCTTTAACTGGGCCTGTGGGCATGATGGGCGGAGGAGTCTCTTCTAGGCCACCTTTTTTTATGGGCAACGCCGGAGTGCGCAATCAGTATGATCTGGATCCGGGTTTCTGTAAGTTATCCATGAGTATATTTCGTTGTCACTTCTAAAACTTCGTGTTTGAATAACTCATTTTTTGCTTCTTAAATAAAGCCCAACCTCCCAGAGCATTGACACCAACAGCAGACGCCTATGATCCGGAAAGGGCCACACTGTCTAGACCCGATGAATTGCTTTCGCCAACTCTGATAGAACAGAAGGAAGGAGATATTCAAGGATCATCCGAAATCACCACTGCAGAGGCAACGAATCTTTCTTTAGCACATTCACCAACTATTCACCATTTCCTCGACTCAGGGGTTGTTCAACCGGGACGTGGAACATCGTTTAGGGGGCGTGGTCGTGCTCGTGGTGGTCGAGCCGGATTCAACGTGAACAATAGGTTCGGCGGTAATACAAACAAAAATGCCACCTTGGTCGTCGAGAATATACCGAACGAAGTTTGTAATCTAGACAAGGTTAACGAATTCTTTAAAAAGTTTGGCACCATTGTCAATATCAATGTTGATATCAACCACCACAAAGCCATCATTCAGTTCAACAATCAATCTGATGCGTACAAGGCTTACAACTCTCCCGAACCGATCTTCGATAATCGGTTTGTCAAAGTTTATTGGCATAAGGAAAAAGAAGACCAACAGATCATCAATCCTCCAGCGACAAAATCTGCGGTCGCTCTTTCTAAACCAGAAAATCCAACCGTGGAAGGCTCAACGCAACCTTCTGCAGAGAAGATCAAAGAGGCGGAAGAAAAAGCAAAGAAACAGAAGGAGAGTCTAAAAGCTATGCTCGAGATTCAAAAGCAGAGAGAACAGTTGATCAATCGTCAGATTGAAGAGCAGAAAAAATTGATGGAACTAGCCAAAAAGAAAAATGTGAATACTAAGAATCGCGAGGAGGTTCTCAAAGTTCTTAGTAAAGTTGGTGAAGACATAAAGAATGACACTAATGTGATTGTCCGCAAGCCCATTCTAACCGGGGGCATTAATACAAAAAATTTGCTAGAAGAAAAAGAGCGAGAACAATTGGATCGGGAGCTTGACATGTTGAGCAAGATCAACGAGTCAAGTACCGCAAATGAATCAGTCACCTCGTCGACAGCAGCACAAGCCGCAAATTCGGAATCAGGGAATGCTGAGGTACGTGATCTGCTTACTATTTGTTTGTTATGTCAAAACCCCTTCGTCCAAAAAGCTAATGCGCTAACCTCTTCAGCAAAGTACCGGCCTGAGTACTGTTGGTGAGACCACTTCGTATCGTGGTCGAGGGCGTGCTGTTTATTACCGTGGCAGGCCTCGTGCCACTTGGCCTAGAGTTCGCGGTGGAGGAGTTATGCGTTCCTTCAAACTTGACAATCGCACCACCAAACTGCAGTTGAAAGATGTCCCATTAGGTTCTAGTGATGCACTTCGCAGTTACTTTCAGGTACTTTTGCTAAAAGTTTCGTGGCAATTATTAATAACGAATTATAGTGCTGATGTAACACCTCTCGACCTGTATAATTAGCAATTCGGCGAAGTCGAGTCCATCACCGTCGCTGATGAAGCGAAATCGGCGATTGTTCAATTTAAAAATAGATACGATGCTGAACAGGTGATGAACGGTTTTTTATTTTTCCGGGTAAAGGTTGAAACGGCAGTTTATTCATCCGACTTTTTTTGTAGGCTCTCGTGAAAGGTCCAAATGTTCCAAACGTTGGCACGGTACAAATGACATGGCTCACAGAGACGAGTACGAGTGCTCGTCCCTCAGAAGAAGCTGTTAACCCGATCACAAATCCGGTGGATGATGCTGTCGCCGAAAATTCTGATTCCCGAACGGTTGTAAAAGAGTCACATGTGAATATCACACCTAGTTTTAAGGCGGATGATGATGAGGATGACGAACGAGAACGTTCGTGGAAGCGTTAAAATGATAATTGCATTACAATTAGAATACCGAAAAAGATCATATGTAATCTCTTTTATCTTTATATACTTTGATTAACAGATCATAAAAAATTAGCAACGCATCAATTACTTTTTTTTTTTCTTTATGTTCGCTTTTCTATTACTTTTTACATTATCACTTTTCTATTATTTTTCTTGAATTTTGTATATACCGTTAGTATTTCTTTTGTAATCTGAAAGCGTAAATATAGCAAACATCTTTGCGAGAGTGCTGTCGAACCTGTTACGTGTAAAAATAAGCGATCGTCGGTCCATGGTTACACCTAAAAAATTCGTGTATGATATCCGACCATTTTTAGTAAACCGCTTTATTTATAACCGAGTATTATTAGGCACACTTAATTGTTCATGTCACTATATTTAGCGAATCAATGTTGCAAGTGTTTGATAAGTTCTAGAAGTATTCCCTAGTACCACTTGAAACATGTGGTGACCCTTGTTTAACATTCATGAATAACTAATAGTGAAATGGGACAAACCTTGCTTTTTGAAGTGATTGTGAGCCAATCGACGGGTGTTGTTGTGAAATTGGAAGTTTCGTAGTACAGAAACTTCAGAAATTCATAGGTACCCGCTCAACGATATATTATACACGCATGCGTATCAACGTACACATATATTTATTTGGAAGTCGTGAAAATGATGACCTCGGCACAGAATGCACCCATAAAAAGATCCTATATTGCTTAACAAACTGTTTTTTCACGAAGTAGTGACCTGTCAGTGGTATATAGTATCCAAGGTTTTTGACCGAAATCCACTTCTTTTTTTCTCTTTACATTAGTTGCACCGTAGTGGGCTTCCTTTTTCTTTTTTTTCAAGAAAAAAAATATCTTCAAACTGGGTTCTCAAGTATCGACTAACGGGGGTGCGTTGCATTCTGCAGGAAGGAGGGCTAGTGACAGCCACGCATATAAACCTCCTTTTGGACATGAGCGATCCGGCTTAAGGCTGGGTGGAAAAAAGGCAGATGCAGGCTATTACCATTTCAACAACAATTCGACTTCAAGTTTTACGAAAAAGAAGAAATATTTTGGTGAAATCATAGAAATCGGAAAGCCGACCGAATTTGAACACGGGATTCACGTGGAATACAACAACGAGAGTGGTAAATTTTTGGTGAGTGAGAATCATAAATGCGCCTTGTTTTCACCTGCCGGTGAAACCATGAGAATCTTGATATACTTTATTTAAAGTGTAAGATTAATTTTGCGCCTCGTTTACAACACTTACTTAAAAACAATCAATACAATCAACTATACCTAGGGTTTGCCGGATGTTTGGGTGAACGCGGCACCAAGTGATGAGATCCTTAACACAAAATATTTGAATCCTAATCTCGTGCCTAGCCCCGGATCACAAGGTACGATGCTTGACATTTTTTATTTATTTGCTTTTATTTTTTAGTAACGCCAACCCGATTTCTTCTTTTATCAAATTAGACATTTCCAAATCGGTGAATGATGATATTGGTAAACCATATAATTTTAAACACGAAATCCATGTTTACATGAACGACAATGGGTTAGAGGTACGCTGGCGAAACATAAATCCGAGGCATTATGAACCACCGTGCTCAAATGATTATCCATTTTAGGGCCTTCCTGCAGAATGGAAAAAGATCCTGGCTTCAAATGGCACGGCCGAGGATGCAAGCAAAAGGAAAACTAATTCAAAAGCGCAACGTAATTCACAACGACCGACATCATTCCACTCTAACTCCTCACAGCAGGATGAAAATGAAGATGTCCTTCTAGGCTCAGCGCTGAATAACGTACCTACACGAAAATCATCCAAAGTTTCACTTGTCTCCCCGGTGCAAGCAGACTCAAATAATGTGTCTCGAAAATATGATAAGTCGCCGGTCAATAATAAACCTCATAACTATAATTTCTCTCCTTCAAATAAAGACAGTGGTATGACATTTCTATGCATTCATTTGTCATCTTTTTTTTTTGGTCCAAGTTTTTAACACAAGTCCTGCAAAAAAACAACTTTACAGTATCGAGTCAATCGAGAAAAGTGGTTACATCACAAAAAGAATCGATAACCTCGTTTCCAAGAGAACGTCCTACTAGTCCCACACCACCCTCGCGTGAAAGAGCTGCATCACCCATACCTCGAGATAATTCAATAGTAATGCCAAATCCACGTGGAAGAGCCACCTCACCTATACCCCGCGATTCAATGAGCTCAACAATAATATCGTCTCCACGTGAAAGAACATCTTCGCTTGTACCCCCACCACGAGACCACGCACGAATTCCTAAGGGAACCACAACTTCAATTCAACTCAAGGCGGTACCCCCTCGTTCCAATAAAGATAACAAAGATCAATATAGAAACAAAATAGCGGAATCATCATTCGGGAGCATGGATATACTCAATTATCAGAACACATCAACAACAGGTTCAATTAGGAAAAACTCGGATACAGCACTACTATTACCCCGAGAATCCGTGGACCAAAAGCATAACAAGGCTTCCAGCATCAGCGAAATGCCAATACGTTCACCGAATGATTCTCCGTTAACCAACGAAAATTACTTATCCCAGATAACCCGAGATAACCATAATACTTTATCACCAATTTCACAAGTTTCGGGTGATTGGAATGCAACTTCCGAAAAACGGAGAAGGCCATCCGCGAACAGTACTGAAAAGGATGTAAACGGAGGAAACATGACGGACCACCACATCTCTCTGCCCGTTCTACCTTCTATGGAAAATTCATTACCTATAACAAAATTGCCAAGGTTTTCTGAAGGGTCACAAGCTTTCAGTCGGATCTCTCCAGTACAAATTGAACAATTGGATGTCACAAATACCATCGTAGATCCTGATTCGTTACCACCGGACATTCGCCACTTAGGTTTGCACCTTGCATCTTTCACTATTTTTTCCTTTGTGACATCCTGTTCTTGTACATTTAAATTATTCCATAGTTTGGAATAACCTACTTAATATAACCTATTGTTTATACGATTCCGTAAAGTGACGAGGTGATTAAATATATCTGTTTCATTTTTATAGCTGATCTCTTGGATCCACGGGATCCAAACAAAATTTATGATAATTTGATTCAGATAGCGGAAGGTCAGTCTGGTAACATGTACTCTTCAACTCAAAAAGGTTCATCGGAAACGGTATAATATGAATTTTCCAACAAATTATTCATTTCGAATTAATTTTATGGTCAAACTCTAATCTGCTTATTTGAGAACAGGTGGCAATTAAGATAATCCCTTTTTCGAGCGACGAAAAATTAAAAAATATAAAAGAGGAATTGAGTCTAATGAAATCTAGTCAACATCCAAACATAGTAAAGTGCATAGGATGTTACCATACACCCGATTCTATATGGGTAAACTTACATTTACTTAAATTAGCGTAACTGTTTTACTTCACTCGGATTATTTATTGATCAATGTTTTTTTGCAGGTTGTTATGGAATGTATGGAAATATCCCTTGCTGATATTATAGGAATGCACGAAGATGGACCACGACTAAACGAATTCCAAATTGCACGTGTTGCACGAGAGACCTTAAAAGCATTAAATTATCTGCATGAATTACGAATAATACATAGAGATGTTCGTAGCGATAACATCTTAATAAATTCTCGGGGTGATATTAAGCTTGGTATTTTACAAATATTTACAACTCGTTCGTCTGTTTATTAATTAATTGATTGGTATCATATTTTAATTATCATATTTTCATGAATGCTTTAGCTGATTTTGGTTATTCTGTGCAATTGACCGAAAAAGAATCCCATCGAAAATCCATAATAGGAACACCATATTGGATGGCACCAGAAGTTATAAAAGGTCAACCTTATGATACCAAGGTCTAATGTTTTTTTCGATTAATAACTTGAGTTAATATGTTCGATTAACCGAATTATTAACAAACTAAGGATGTAAATCTTAGGTGGATATTTGGAGTCTTGGTATATCAATTATAGAAATGGCCGAAGGCAATCCTCCCTACATGGATGAAGAGCCCCTAGAAGTATGTGTCCTTTTTTATAAAAAAAAATGTATATGTTTCATATATATATGTTAGAATAATAGGCCTAACCTTCTTTTGGGATAATTTAAAGGCAATAAAGAAGATTGCTCAGGATGGTGTTCCTGAATTGAATAATCCCGAACGGTGGTCTGATATATTTAAAGACTTTCTCGCAATCTGCACGGAAACCGATTCGAGCAAACGAAAAACTTCAGCTGAAATGATTCAGGTAATTTTTAGGTTGTTAATCCTTCAATGAACTTAATTACAATTTGCTTATACGTGAATTTTTTCTATTTATTAAACAGCATCCGTTCATGCAACATGTATCGGTACCTAGGGATTTCGAACAGATGTTGGAGGAATTTCGTCTTCAAGAGGGAATGGATGTGGAAGCTGATGTGGAGGATGATAATGATGATTCAATTGAATATCAGTCCATGAAGGTCGATCATGAAGATAGTAAAATGCAAAATTTTTCTATCATTGATGACGACGCATTCTATTATATTAATAGTATTACAAACAATTGGCATAACCCTGATATTTAACAATCTTTTCGACTATTTCCCTTTATTTAACAATCCTAAATTTAATTTATGTCCTGAACTCTTACGGTTCAATATTTAAGCAGAACAATGAACTACTAATAGTAATATTTGTATGACAATTTATGGCTCGCAACAAGCTTGTGAAACATAAGGATCAATCGATTGTTATATAAATAATTGAATCTGTGATTCTTTCACAATTATTAAGTTCAAGTTTTGCTTTGAGGTCAACCTTCATTTCATGAAAGATATAGGATATTTACTATTCATCAAAAAAGTATATATGGTAATTTATCCTATTAATAAAAAATGTTTATAAAATGCAAATTCTAATAATATTTTATTAATTTATTTTTATTTTTATTTTTATTGTATATTACATACTTGACTAAATCTTTTTTCGATTTAAAATTTTTTTGCTTAAATAATTCAATTTTTTTATTTATAACTTTTTTTTTTATTGCAAACAAGCATTAAATATAAGACTTTAATAAATCAAAACGATTATATAAATTTATATAATTATTATATTAATGGTTTAAATCATTTAAAATTAATATTAACAATGAAATCTATAAGTCTATTGCATAATAACAATATTTATAAATTGTTAAAAAAAAGAGTTTAGATTTTAATTATATATGTGATATAAATTATTTTAATTCAAAATTTTAAAAATAATTGTATCGTAATTTAATTTATTTTGTATATTTTAATAATATTTTAATTAATTATATAAAATAATTGTGTCAATTGTATAATATATATAATTGGTTTCTTATAATATAAAATTAATAATATAATAAATATTGCATAAAAATATATATACAGTATATTTATTTAAACCTACAGCATAAGTCTATCTCATTATACTTTTTATTATACATGTGATATAAATTATTTGCTATTGACTTAATTTTCAAAATTCTTAAAACAATTATATCATATCTTAATTATTTATATGTTTTAATAGTAACTTAATTAATTGTATCAAATAATTATATTAATTACATTAAAGATCTATAAATTTCAATAATATATATACTTTTTATTGCCTATATCAATATTAATTTTTTAACCATATGATTGTAACAATTTGTTTAAGAAATATATGATTTTCTAATAACTTATAATTTACATATTAAGAAGATTTTAATAAAGACAATTTTTATATGGCTAAATAAAAAATAAAAGTGGAAATAACAAGTATTTTTAAAAATAATTATAATTATTTAAAAAATATAATATATTAAATAATTTTAATAATTTTAAAATAGAAAATACTTTTTTTTGCTAGCCAAAATATAAGTTACATAATACAACTGTTTTATTAACAGAAGAAGTAACAAATGTTTATCTCAAAACTTGATCAAAAAAATTGTAACTGCAATAAAAAAATAATAATAAGATAATAAAAAGATAATAAAAAAAAGTCTATATAAAATATTAATATAATTAATTGTAGCAAGATTTACCTATATTATATATATTTTAATATTTAATAAAAAAAATCAAAAAATAACAACAATCAAATTTTATTAAATAAAACAAATTATATTAATAAATATTTTAATTTAGAAAAAATAGTCATAGCTAACAATAAATTTTTATATTTTATTTATATAATAAATTAATTAATATTATTTAAATTTATTTTTTTAAAAAAATATATATAAACTATATTAATTTGAATTAAATAATTAATTGAAAATATAATAACTCAAACTGATATATATAAATTTAAATTTAAAAAAATAAAATTAAATAATTTTTAATTATAGTAATTGAAAATTTAACTTTAAAATAAAATAATTTAATAAAAATTATATTTATATAAATCAGATTGGTTTTGGTTCAATTTATAAAAAATTAAAACCAATCGTTTTTGGATCAGATTAATTTAGAATAATTAAATTGGTTTAAAAAAAATAAATCACATCAGTTTTAGTTTTAGTTAAAACTAATTTGTTTAAGCTGAATTGTTATAATTTTTATTCAAAAGAATTAGACCAAAGAAAGATGTTTTTGTCCTATTTATAGATAATCTTTTATAATTCAATAGTTTTAACAATTCTCAAATATCAAAGCCATCTACAAATATCATACAATATTCTTACTTATATAGATAATATCTTGTTAATGACACAATCTTCTAAAGAAATACAAAAGTTTACTAATATATTTTATTTTTTTTTTACTTAACAAAATCAAATATAATATTAAAAAAATTAAAGTAATTACAATTTTGAAAAATAATAACTTTAACAAAAGCTCATATTTAAATATTCTTGATTCAACAATTGTTCCTTTTATATAAAAGGTATCTTTATATTATTTAAAAAACTATTTTTCAAATAATATTACAAATAATCTGATTAAACAATTCTCAATTAAAGATCTTAATTAAATTATTATAGCTTTTAGTAAACAAAACTGAAATAATCCAATAAATAAACAAGTACTAGATTGAATCATATCAAATAAAATTGAATATACACTCCATTCAATAATATTCTCAAGATATCAGCTTTTATTAATTTAAATCAAGTTTACTTGTATAATTAAATAAAAGTTTAAACTAGAAAAAACTATTTCAAACAAAATCATATTTTTATAAATAGGACTTAAAAAAGTCAATCTTATAGATAAGCAAAAACTAGTACTAGCCAAACTATTATAAATGTGATACAATTGATACAATTATTTGATACTATTAATTGAGTCACTATTAAAACATATAAATAATTAAGTCATGACACAATTATTTTTGAGAATTTTGGAAATTAAGTCAATAGCAAATAATTTATA